TTAACTCAAATCAATAAACTGGTGAAGTGAGGCTTCACATATGCATATACATTTTGTATATGTGTTTTAAAATTTTACAATTTTGAAATTAAATTATTTAAGGAAAGCTGTATTTTCATGTCTCCTTAGTCGAATATTTTGTGTACATAATCAATATTATGTATTATAAGTTTACTGTATCAAATCAAATCAGAACAGTCAGAATAAATCCAAACAGTACTTCCCTATGTGGTATGTGAATTGTAAGATCTTGTAAGAATCCATATCGTCAGCCTTCAAGCTTTCTGCCAGCTGATCCTTCTAAATGTTACACACTGGACCTTCAGAGCTGCAATAACTGTTTGGCTACATGGAGGCAGAGGAAAAAACAAACTGTGAACAGGACACTGACAAGTTGTTGTGGCTAATCTGTTAACGAACACCCGCCTATTTACACATGCAGCAGACAGGAAGCAGTATTAGCATTCATTTAGTCCGGGTTGTGCCCACCTGATGAACTTATCACAATATTCACCTTTTTTAGCCCTGTTTTGGTCTCCACTAACTCTTGAGGGAAATGTCTGGCTCTTTATCTGCTTAACCCAAACAATTAGTTAAAAGGCATTGAATTGCTCTTTAGTGCTGGGGAGAACTCCCTTTGGGTTTGTCACTAAGAGCACCTCCTTTCACATAGTAATTTTATCCACTGTAATAATAAGAATATTTATTATAGCCACTTTTGGGAGAAATATTTGTATAGTAGAGTACAGTGATGCACCCTTCAACAGGCTCTTGTTTGTGCGTGTGAGTCAGTGGATTTGAAGTGGTGGCAGGGGGTGCAGTGACAGGTGTAGACACCAGGTAACTGACATGATACAACGAGACAGGGCGATGAGTCACCCCGGCCCTCAGCGAGCTCCTCTGCTTAACCTGCAGTCGCTCCTATACGATCACCTATTTATAGCCCTTCCACAGCAGTCCCGCAGAACCACTGACAGACAGGGAAAATCTGGCTTCGTCTGAGCTCTGTTTTGCTTAGAAGCATATTTAAGACAGAAATGCTGAATCCTCTGATGTTTAATGGATGGTTTAATAGGTTTAATGGAAAATCCTAAAGCAGAGAGCTCCAACATATGCAGGCTGGCCCTGTGACACATCAGGGCTTTTTAGCTCTGGGTTGGACTCATTTAATTGTTAATTCTTCTTATTCGACTGATGGGATAGACTGTGAATAAAACCATATCCCTGCGAGGCAGACTGTCATGCCTGGCTGACTCATCACCTGGTATACCTGCAAACACTCTCCACAGGATTAAGGTGTTGTTCGTTAGCCCTACTACTAATGTTTCAAATGGTAATCCTCTGAGGTGTTATTTCTTTAAAATCCCCTTAAAACCTGACACAGTGTCAGTATCAAATCATGACTGTTTCCATTCTACAAATCAATAATGCAAACAAAGTACGCAGCTATTATATTTTATAATTTTTTTCTTCTTACAGCTAGGACTTCTGGCACAGCATCACCACATTAGAGGGAATCCATCATATTAATGATCCCAAGGCCACTTCATTATTCACAGAGAAGCAGCCCGGCTGTCCAAATAAATTATCATTGGTGTTCCATTAATGGAAGTTTTCAAATCTTGCCACGGAGGATGCCATTAATCTGCGCACAGCGTCTCTCTAGAGTGGAACGGTCGGCTACTGTACCACTGCCAGCGATCTGTGAAGATGAGAAGCTCCCCACTGTCCTCACTTTCCTTCTGTGGGAGGAAGTCCAATTATGATTGACGTTAACTACTGCGGCTCCAGAGCGGATCTCTCCCAAGTTGCACACTTTGCATTTTTTATGCACTGCTAAAGGGATATGTGCTTATAGGTGAAGGGTAGAGCTACAAAGTGGTACTTCTGTCTGAAACTGCGGATGACAAACTCCGACCTCTCCCCTCCTGATGGAGCGCTTTCAGCTAATTCAACACATATTGCATTTGTGTGTTGGAAAATTGCAAAGCCAAAAGCCTCTGCCGGTCCCCTGGGACTCCCCGCACATCCATTCCCCCCCTGCACCAGCACACACACGTGGGCCAACTTCCAGACACATTCGCTTAATAATCTGATTGAACATTTGTAGAAGGACCTTGAAAAGTCACATACTGTGCAACTTTCTAACACTTTAATGAAATTGCTTCTCATAATGTTGGCATTCACCGACTATTATGTTTTTCATTATGACAACCTACTGTAGGAGTCAAGCTCATTTTCATTTTCTCTGGATGTAAGAGGGCAATAAATCCATTTCGTCTAATGCCCTGCAGACCGCCTGGCTTTACTATCAGACCTTAACAAATAACTAAAAGTGAAGTTCTGTAATACAGCTCTCTGAAATTAATTCCACGGGAACCTGATAGTAACTCTTTATGGCAAACAAACTGAGCTATATAAAAGAGCTTTTGTTAAGCTTGTCGGCTCCTTAAGCTCAATTTAGTCCTTTTAAAGAAGTATCCACTGCCTGAAGGTGTTCAGCTGGATCTGTGATTTATTTCCCCACCTACCTACTATCTTATTCATCAGCAGCTCTGATTTACATACTCTCTCTCTCTTTGCACATAACAGGACGTGATGCTGTCATCCCCTTCCTGGCCAGCTCATTGTACCCCTGAGTCAGGTGGTGAATATGAGGCAGTATTTAGCTGCCCCTTGCTGTTTTGCTGTGAGTTTTCAGTTGGAGGCTTGCAGCATGCCCCGAGGTCTGGAAGGAGATTCAGCCTCTGTGCCTCCTGCCAATACCTTCCCATAATGCCCAACCTCCTCCTGCTCTTGCACCTGAACCTTGAGCTGCAGGGATTGAAGTCCCACTGTTTTCTGAAAACTGACCTCTTTGGCCAAATGGATGTCCTCACACAGCACCTGATGTCTGCAATGAAAATAACCACAAGCATAAGATTGACGCTTGACTACCTTTTGGTATGAAAAGAGAGAAATAAATACATTGTTGGCTTGTGCTACACCGACAAATATCTCTAAACGATGCAGCAAATGTGAATCCAAACAGATTTAATTGTGTATTTTTGCCTTTTTTTCATCAGTCCCATGGGTTGTTTCACTGGTCAAAGGTTCTCTATTGGCATACGCTTTGTTAAAATGTTTAATCAAACAGGAAATAATGCACAGGACGGCCATGTGGGAAAAGCTGCTTAAATCCCCCCTTCGTTGCAAAAGCCGGCTAGGTCAGATCAAATTAAGTGGTTTGATACTTTCTCTGCCAATCGGATTAGCCTGATTAATTCCCAAAAGTGTTTAAATGATTAAAGCCTGTTAATGGGCCTTAGGAAAGTTCATGGTGTGAAGAGTTGGCTGCGATATCAAATAGGGTTAGAGGAACGTCAATAAGTGGTAACTGTAAGAACATTTTCTGCTTTAGTGTTGCTGTTTGTTAATCAACAGTACATGGACACCTGCATATTAAGCTCTAATAATCCTTTTGTTTCCTTAAATTACAAGACTCTGAGGAATAAATGCTTGACAAATAGTGCATCTGCTCTGTGGTGACACAGTGCCTAAATATAGAGTGGAAAATGGAGCAGAAGAAGGGGGCACAGCGAGGACCATAAATATTCACAGTCCATCTACAGAAAAAGATGGCATAATCCTGGTCCTTCTCTTAAACTATGCTTAATGTGGCACCACTGAGCTATACTGGTTATGCCTTCATGGTGCCTCAGATTTGAATGTGTTGTGACTGTGGATGCGCTTGTGCTGTGTTCCTGTGACGCCTATCTTCATTAGAAAATGTTACCCTGAATCCTGCTGTGAAGGCTGATGGAGAGAAAGAGAGAAAGAAAGGAATAATGGATAAACAGTTGCAGGTTCTGGTCCCCTCCTCAACCCCTCTTCTAATATACTCGTCTCCTGAGGGAGTGGTATCCATCACGGAGATGGCGGGGCTGTTATGCCACGTCGCCTCGTGCATGTGAACACAAGGTGACTCTGGGAGGGACGCAGCTCATGTGTGCCCAGTCTTATAAATGCAGCCCCATGTTTCCCCCATAAAGTGTCCATCAGCACCTTAATGCATCTCCCAGTGAAAGTGACAGAGCCTGGGCTTGCACATTATTAACTCCAGACATTTTTATGAGCCTGTGGAACAGAGTGCTCCTTCTGAATAAGATATGTGTCCAGGGTTCAGTGGCTGTATATCAGTCTTTTAGTTTTTGGCATTGCATTACAGCCTTTGATAGGCACTGTTTTAAGTGTGTTTTTACATGTGTCCGAACCACAGAGTGGGCCTGTAAATACTGTAGTTATGCCATTATTATTCTCCAGAGGGATCAAAATAAATTAGGCTTAGTTGTGCTGTGTGGAATCTATTATGTCACCCATGTGCTTGCATGGGAAATACATCTATATTAATGTTATGTAAACAGTGTTTACAATGATAAATTGTGGCATAGAATCATAAGCAGCTTAGCAGAGTGGGGTTAAAGGCACAACCAAATTGGCAGGCTCATGATAAATGCATGGGATTTGTCTAAAATATTAATCAAATATAAATGTGCAATGAATTTAGTAGTGACTTATTCCTGAGCTATATTTGGAACCAATTCCCAGCCATGCAGAGACAAGGGAGAAGGAAATTAAGGCACATTTTCTGAAACATAATAAAAGCTGAAATTATGAGAAGAAAGGGTATCCTAAAATTAATGAAGCAGAAGAAGATCTTTAAAAAGATCTGTGAAGATTTTTTGTGTTGTGTGTTTTCTATATTTTGTGAGTGTTCTCAGTGGGAGAGAATGACACTTTAACAGCATACAATTGAGTTGTGCAAGTAATACATGCAATGCAATTATTTCAGCACACAAATCTCGAGTCTGCAAAGTGGGATTGCTGGCTCATGTGATCTAAAACAGTGGCTCTCTCAGGAGGCACTCAACCTGTTTCCAAAGGACTCTGCTTATGCAATCAGGCAAAATAGCATCTCTGGGGCGGAGGCGTAAAACCAGTCAGCACATGAGACACTGGGATGGTAGGAAGACGCCCAGGCAAGACAAGTTGAGTTTGTAAATGTCAAACCCGTGGTCGCTGGTGGAGTTTACAGCGCGCTTCACACAGCCAATCAGTTCCTGCCGGAGTCGCTCTGGAGCCAGAGCACAGTCTGAGGATACTGTGCGTAAAATCTACCTGTCAGACGCAGCAGCGGTGCCATGGTGGCGGGCAGAGCTCAGCGAGCAAAGTCCGTTCTTACACACGCGGAATAACTTCCCTTTTCAACGGATGCTGTATGTTGCGCTACGTTGGAGGGTTTCCCTCAAAACTGATCGTGTGAAGTAGAAAGGTGGCTCCGTCCGTCTCCATCGACTCAGTTGCGCCGAGGAACGATGCTGAACAAAGCTGCGGAAGGATTTTCCACTACAGGTAAGATGATTTTCGCAGATGTTTAGCTATTAGTATCCAAAAATATTCTCAGCCTATTATTCCAGGGCAGATGGGAGATCTCTACATAGTACAAAAGAGCAAAACTGTGAAAATTAGGAAGATTGCCCTCATAATCAGCCCTATAAAATTAGTAAATGAAGTATTTGCAATTTTATGTGAGGTAGAAAAAAAGGTGTGACGTCATCACAATAATGAGCATTGTGTTTGTGTGTGATAAAGTGAGTGACATGTATGAATAAACTATATTAAAGACTAAAACAGAAATAATGTAGAGAGAGAGTATGTGCTCATGATTATTAATCATTATGGAGTCTAAGCACACTCACATGTGCTAAGTGCACATCTTCTCCTGTCAGATGAATTATTTGTGGATGTGGGATGTGGTTTTTGTTGTCTAATGTAGTGTGTAATGGAATTCCCTGTTATCTGGAGAGGGGCTCGGGCTTGGGAGCATGTGAGAATGGAGACCGCAGGACATGGTGTGGAAGATACTGAGTCTTGGGTGTGTGGGCTCAGATTCAGCCACTGGCCCACATTATTCATGCTTCTCCACGTCAAACAGCTTTGAAAACAACAGTGACTGCATAAGCTTTTGTTCTTGAGGGGCCACAGAGGCCAAAGGTCTGCTGTAGACCTACATGTCTTGGAGTATGTAGGTGATCTAATCCAAACAAATTCAATAACTATCTGTAAATGTCAGCTTTGTGAGGGTTTTCTATTTTGTAGTTTTTGCTGAGGCATTGACACAAGTCTCGAGGCTTCAGTCTGTAGCGCTGTTGTGCTAGATGGCATTATATTTTTTTGGGTGTTTGTTATTTCGCCCAGCCCTTGAATGTTTGAGTCCAAGTCTGTGCAACTCAATCACCTCTCAAACCTCATAAATCAAGCCCTGCCATACCTATTTTTTCTAATGTTAGAAAAACCTCTTGTGTATTTCCACCCTGTGGCTCATTTCTCACTATAGCACTTTCAACAAAAAAGTACGACATTACTTGATTTGCTACCTTCTGCTAGCTATTTCCAAAATATGATGCAGCTACCTGACTGGCTGTTTCATTGTAAGACTAGGATGCAAGAATAATTTGATGGATGAGGTCTTTGTTGGCCAAAAGGGACTAACCCTTTTTGCTGGATTTGCAAAACAAAATAGTCTATTTGCTTACTCAAAGCTGGACATGTTCAGATCTCACAGCCTCTCATTGGTGGATTTGTTGCCTTAGTGACGGCCTCTCCTGACAGTGGTACTGTGTTGTTGGTTTTTAAACCACACATTTTTTAAAACTGATCTTCCACTCATTTGTCCCACTCTTCAGCTGCATTTAAAAACATTCAGGCGGAGTCAGGGAGGACAGTTCACAGACAGTTAAAGCAATCAGTATGCAGTGCAAAATACAGCAGCACCTGCCCCACTTTTCCTGCTTTTCAATATAGGCAGCTGTGATATGTGGAATATATTTTTCTCCCTACATGTTTATCTGAATCTGGGGGTGTGAGATGCAACAGTTGAACATACAGCAGATGGTGATTTTATGGCTCTGACTGGTGAGGGCTTGCGAGAGGAATGCTGATTGCCAAACAAGATTAAATATTTTCTGCACTGAATTCATGTCCTACTAAAAACCCAATGTTGGGTCTGACTGGATAGCTACACTGCAACTAGATTAACTGTATTTTTGCAATAATGTGTTATCATTTAATTGAACTGCTTTTTTCTCTCTTTTAAAGTTTTTGTTAATCAAATTTAATTGTAACTTCATATGTATTTCCAGCTGCCACATTGCCAAATCTTTTCTGGACTACATCCTCTGATCCATAAGACGTTTTAACCTGCCATCATGGAGAGCCTGAGTGACCTCCAGAATCCCCTGCTAGACAAGACCAGCCGACACGTGGTGCACAATGATTACCAGGGTTACCAGTGTGACTACCCGAGCCAGCCTTACCAGGACAGCCTCATTGGCTACTACTACACTGAGACGAATGGCAAGCATAAGACCCAGCAGTTCCTGGATGCCACATCCCTGCATCTAGCGGTGGAGGCCTTCTACAGGCCCAACTTTATCCTGTACAAGGACGACGTGAGTCTTCACAGCAAAGACTCCAAGAGCGAGAGCTTTGAGACTACTTTCACAGAGAGTAAGGACACTGTGTTGGACGGAGTCTCCACAGAAAACCCTCTGGACAGCATACAAGGGGAGAAGGATGTGAAGATCCAGACGGTGTCATACGAGGTGGAGGAGGAACAGGGTCCTGAGTATGAGGTCAGAGGACACACCAAAGAAAAATATGAATAGGTCTAATGCATATGTAGCAGTTTACAGTTCTTTATTGGTATTTTATTTGGAGATGTAGGTGCCTGATATACTGGGTCTCTACTCACAGTACATATTTCAGTTGTAGCCTGTAGTGTGCAGATGTAGAAACAAGTATACTTAAGGTTTCTTACTCCTGCTACAAGTTATATGGGGATAATAACTGTAACTGCATGTTAAAGAGCAAATTGATGCAAGTAAGAGCCATTTGGCAGTGTTTGACAGAGTAATAAGAATATTGAGTTGCTATATGAAATTAAAGGCGTTACAACACTTACTCGTAACTGTCAGGGCCATCTTTCAGCAGAAAGTGAATCATGGCGTTTATAGTGATGCTCATTATTAACTTATTTGATTTTAATAGACTGCCAGTGTGATTCATGCTCATTTCTAACTCTGTTCTCTAAATGGTCAATTTACTGGAGTCTTTCAATTCTAGTGGAGGGTAATTGTACGCTTTTGTTTTATAATTACATTCTAAGAAAATGACACATCAGAGTTTATCTACCCAGGCTATTGTTCTTTTAGGAATATAACTTCACTCTTTAAAGAAAACCGTGACAGCAAAAGAGCAAAAGTCTTTTCAGAAGTGGTAAAAATCTAATTTCATCTAGGGACGCTTGTGAAATACCAAGGGCTCTGAGCTGGCAGAGGAAGAAGTATTGCAACCTAACTGGGCTGATGATCAGAGCCTGTCACTCGGAGGCCTGGCAGATAGATAGAGACGTGGCATCGAATGCCATTAATGCCATAAGTAATGCCGTGCTGTGAGGGTATTAAGCGGGACTCCGCTGATGCATGGCTGTCGGAGCAGGTGAGCCTGGAGCTAAAGTTATTCCATGTCAATTCAAAAGAGCAAATGAATCTGATGAACAGTGCTCAGATAAAAGTTTCCAGCTGTAATATGAGACGTTTTGCTCAGCACCTGCGTTTCCTCACTTTCCCCTCCCATGTGACCGCGTGTGTGTGCGCGTCTCTGTGCTAAATGACCCACAACCTTTTCCCACTGTGATGCTGATGCAAAGAAGTCAAATCAAACATTTAGAGGAATTTTACAGCAAAGAAGATAATAAACAAGAGGCAGAGAGCAGAGCTGGTGAAGGTTTTATTCACATCCTAAAATTCCAGGATATAGTCTGCAGCAACTTGTCAGCATATCATCACTACATGTTTCCATGGTTCCCCAATCATTTTCTGGACCCAGCAACACACAAAAAAACTACACAGCTAGTTTTTGACAGCAGATGTTTGACATCTGTGTGATGGAGAGAAAAATAAATTGCAGGTAACAAAGTAACAAGAGCGTGTGGACGATGCCACTGTGATTGCCCCTCGAGTAACAGGGTGCAGGGGTCTGTGTGTGCCTTGTTGTGGAGTCGACTGTCCCCTCCAGACTCTAACGAAGCCTCAGAGAGAGCTGTGACAGGGTTGTTAAAGGCACTGTGCCTCTGTGGAGCCCCATCAGCTATACTGGCATCAGACCAGACTGGGAGTGTGTCCCCACTCGGCCGGACTCGGTGTCAGGCAGGCTGTCAGCGGGACTGAATGCACCAGTCACTCAAAACTGTTATCAGGTCTCGCTACAAAGATAAAAAGCAGATTACTGCTGTTTGTTCCCAACGGTTTATTCATGTGATGTCAGATTATGTGGTTAGGACCAGCTGCTGTTTTGATGGATCACACCCGGCTGTCCAGGTGGACAGTGTTCATAAAGCAGATAACAGAAAGCTTCATAATCTTTTCTTGGCCAAGGTTGGGAAACTGTTTGGATAGTATAGCGCTGATGTCTTCCACTTCCTCCTAACATCTAAATAAGGTTTTTACACAGGCACGCACCTCAAAATAGCACAAGATAATTACATTAGATCCTGTGGTTTGGCAAATGAAGATCAGATTAGAAGCTAAAAGAGAAAATTGTACACAACATGCTCAAAACTGTGGTCGTCAGCACATGCGTATGGTTCATTTCTTCTCTGCCCGCCTCCTTGACTGTTCTTTAATTACCTCTAGAATGGGTGATTCAGTTCCTGCCTTACATATCGATTTCTATTTTGTGCCTTCCTTTTCCCCGCTTTGATTGATCCCTGCAGGCAGCAAGACTAACAAATGAAACCTGCTTCTCATGGGGGCTATTTATTTAGACAAACATCCAGTCAGTCTGTGGGACAGCAGAGAGAAGTATAAGGCAACGTCCTCTTAAAGGTCACCCATGAAGCCATCCTCGCTGCAGGCACAATGTGCCAATGTAGTCTGGGTAGCATTCGAATCTATCATTCATTAGCCCTCTCAGCTCTTGTGGCCCTGAGTTTGAGTATCGAGGCACAGTGCTGGGAGCTTGTTGGACACTCACTGCCTCGTAAGACGCTGGGTGTATTGAGGAGAGATGGTGGAGGTCTCTCTTGCTGTAGAAGCAATTTAGCACATAAATGACACTGTCTTCTTGCTGTTTCCCCTGTCACCGTGCAATGATGGAACAATCCGTTAATCCTGTGTTATCTGTCAGCCCGCTCATGGGTGTTGACAGAGGCACCAAATCCTCTCTGGCTGGCTGAGCACATCCTGTCCTGGGTGGTGGTGAAACAAGGGCAGATACACTGACCTGTCAGAGTGGGGGGTTGTCAAACAACAGTACTGTTAAGATGTCCAAAGTACACCTGACTATGTACACATGTCAACCTTGCTCCATTATTATTTAGGTGTCAATCTCAAGATCACTCCACTCATCTTTTGTGAATCATGTTGCGAATGTGCAGTTTGTCTCACAAATTGTCTGTGGTAGAACTCGTCACCTAAAAAGTGCATCATCCTTTCGTTTTCTGACATTTAATCATTCTTCATCAATCCGCTGTCTTCCAGAGTGACAGCTCCAGCGATAGTGAGAGTGAGGACAACTTCATCGTGCTGCCCCCTCGGGACTACCTGGGCCTAGCCATCTTCTCCATGCTCTGCTGCTTCTGGCCCTTGGGCATCGTTGCCTTTTACTACTCTCACAAGGTAAAGGCCCAGAGACCTCAAGCCTGTCATTAACACTGATTACACTCCATTCTATTTAAGGTCAGCGAGCACAAGCACTCATGCTCAGTGCTACCACAGCCCATTTTCCACCCTGTGACCGTCTATGCAGTTGTTTCAGATGATTGACTAAGTAAATTCATCGGGTTCGGCCCACTTGTCAGTCGTTCATATTCACTTAAGGAAACCATTAACATTGAGGTTTCGGTCCGCAGTATGTTCTGTGTGAGCAGTACACTGCAATTATATTTTTAAGTTATTGCATCCATAGCTGAGACCTCATGTGTAATTATAGCAACACCTTAAGTTCGTCCAGTGTCAGTTTCTTGCTTGTCTGAAAAAGATTAGGCTTACGCCCTGCAACCTCAAACAAAGCACAGCATATCTCAGTGGTTTTGCAACATCCTCCACAGTAATTGCCGAGACAATTATACCGGAGCAGAAAATAATGTGTCAGAAGAATAAATAAAGGCCAGGCTCATTTTTTGATGGGAAACCAAAACACCCAAACAACACATTTGTCACTGTCACAGGGATAATGACCTAATTGCCATGGTAACTAATGGCTCCCTGAGAGCATTTCTTGTTTTCTCTCTTTTAACACCTACTCATACACTCGGTGCTGATGAGTAACACACCGGCTCATTTCACTCTCTGCTTTGTTTTGTCAGACTGGCAAGGCCATCGCTAAGGGAGACTTCTCCAGAGCAGGAATGAGCTCCAGAAGAGCCCTATTCCTGGCTGCTCTTTCCATTACCATTGGAACAGGGATGTATGTGGGGGTGGTTGTGGCCCTCATAGCCTACCTGTCCAAGCCCGGACACGTATAGCACTGGGACCGGTTTGCGTGGCAGGAGATAGAGAGAAAGAGGAGGCAAGTTGGGAGAAAGGGAAGAGACCAAGCCAGACAGATCTGTTCACCTCTCCTGAAGGTGTGGGCCTGTGTTGTTGCAGGGCTGTCTGTGAAAAGAAGAACCTATGTGAAGAGAAAAGACTTAACAAAGATGTGTGGATGGAGTGTGACTTTGGCTGCATATTGATTCGGACTGAATCTTTACTTCTGGGATGCAAAACTCCCACCGAGGTATTCCACCACCACTACACGAAGAAGAGAGGACAGCGCTGAGAGAGATGACTACTCTTCAATAAGGCCGTGCTGTACTTATATGTTAGACAAAAACTGAGCTCATAGCAGTAAAGAACTACCTACCTTTTACCGCATTAGTCGTTTACAGCAGTTTTATTTTTCCTTTATAGTAGATGTATTCTCTGTCAATACTATTTCAGATTGTGTATTGTCCACTTTGTAATTTCTTGGAAAAACAGTCAGCCAGTGGGTTTTTATGTGATTGTTTATTCAAGGAATATACCGGAAATTGATACAGTCGGAAAGCAGAGAGAAGTGGACCCTTGAGAAAAACAAAGGTAAATTGTTGCATTGTACACAAAGTTGCTGAAGAGCGTTCAGGAAGGTTATTTGTGTTTATTGTGTACTGTAAAATTAGTCAATAAATACATTTGGCATGAATAATGAAACATCCTCATCCATGTCTCTGATCCTCTTATTCCCTGTCTCTTTGAGAGGAGTGCTTCAATGTCAGCCTTTACAACCTTGGGTAGGTCTACTTTTACCCCATGCGGTAGCCTATTCTGCAGTTGTCAGGCGGTATATGTTACATAGGTAAGCTCTCAACTAATCAACCAAGAAAAAAAAATATTTGTGTTAAGTAGGAAATAGCCAAACAAGATTACAGATCAGATGCTGATCTTTACAAATAAACTACCCGTCAACCAGTTAGTTGTGTCTCATTAGCAAGCAAGCAGAAGCCAAAATGTCCTGTACTTTTGGCTTCTGCTTGCTTGCTAATGAGTTGAAGTTGTTTGCTAAAAGTAATAAATAAACAGTTGAAATAATTATAAAAATAATTAAAAAGAAAATTAAAAAGCTATTGGCTATTAAAGTAAATGTAATGGATAAATAGTAAGTAATTAATCCATACAGTAAGAATATATTTGGAACATAATGGCTAAGGTCGATGAAGGGGTAATAGAGCTCAACTGATGAGGCTGTCAGAGTACATCAGGCAACAAAGGTTGGGGACCACTAAACAAGACATGGATTGTGTGGTTAGAGAAGCCTGTCAGAGCGTATTGTCGATCACAGGGCGTTATATTGACTACAGCCTCTGCTGTAACTGGCATGGCTCCTCGCCGTCTTTTGGCATCACTCACTGTCTAGCTTTGAGGTGACTTTAGCTGCCAGAGTGCTGTGAGTGTCAGGAACAATGCCTGCTTCCTAAAGTCAGGATGTCAGAACAAAATGAGAGCAGCACTTTATTTCCCTCCAGGACTTGGAAGGACCATCATGCACGTCCTGTTCTTTTGCCCCACCTGCCATCCAATCAGGGCATTAGCCTCCAGAGCCATAGTATCCTAAACCACTCAGTGCCCTTCAGGTTCAACTTGCAGACAGCATTGATCACATACTGAGCTCAAGAAGCAGAGGAGAAAATACTCTACACCTATATTATTCACTGCACCAGGAGAAATTGTGGAGATGGAAAGGTAAGCAAGTCTTACAGGAAAGCTTGAACAGCCTGACCTCTCCTATATTTGGCAATTTTCTCTTTTGCAACTTCTCTTCAAGCAAGTCTCTAATGCATGTGGCTTGATGGGGGAGACGGAGGCGAAAAGTGCCGCTCTCATCAATGGGAGCTGTATGGGGTGCTGAAGTGGGCTCACTCTGCGAGCGAGTGCAGTTCTGCATGTGTTTTCTTTCTCTCGATAGATAGGAAGCTTCACCCACGCCTTCTCACTCTCTCACTCACAACATCCATAGCTAGCTCAGACCACCACAAGCAAACTGATTTTATTAGTCATCCACCCCCACAGGAATAAAAACTTTCCAAAAGGGAGCAGCAGGTTAAATCTAAAGGAGGTTAATATAAAGTTCTGCACATAACCCTTATGTTAGTACAATTTTACTTGTTGTTACTGTATACAACATGGGTCTTTGTTTTAGAAGGATAATTAGTCAGTACTGTGTGTCTAAATATAATCCTTGTATCTAAAATTAACCAAAAGTCTGTTTTTGTCAAGTTTGACAAAGTCATACCCCGACCTGTCACATTTAGCAAATGACAAAAAACGAAAATGAATGGGTCTTTCCACACAGAACTAAAGTGAGAGACATATTTGTGGAGGAAAAACAATGATGAATGGGCTGAAACAAAATGGATAAGAAACTGAAAGACAAAAAGACATTAGAGCTGAGTGCTGCATTAATAAGGAGCATGATGCTCTTGACTGTTCATGCGACTGAAAGGCATTCTCAGATTCTTGTCATTGCTTTGATGAAATACCTGTTACCGCTCTCTGCTCATGGACAATAGACACATAAACAATATCTTCAGTTTGTGCCAAGCTGCTGCGAAAGAGGATTTGAAGTGGTTGCAACAATTACAGTAATAAAAATAGAAAAAGCTGTGTATCCTTTCGTTTTACTGACATTATGTAGAAAAACAAATCCTGGAAAACTATTTCCCCTGTGTTAGCCCTGTGAAAAGGATAGAAAAATCAAATACTCAAAAATAACATTCAGTAGACACATTTTCAACTCACCACCGCAACCACAATGGGAGGATGCGAAGGAGGAGTGTGGAAACAAGCAAGCTATTGGGGAAATAGTGGTTAACTTCTAAAAGTGTAAAATCTATTGGCTCTGTATTGTGTGACAGATCTTAAATCACAACCACATAGTTAATTTGGTAGATTACAGACACTTGTATTCTGTTTCAAGCTCGTCCACAGATCAGTTTCAATGCTGGCAGATAAATTTAATGTATATTTGATTATTCCAGGGCCACTTTCTAGGTCAACATCAGCACAAGTGACGTCTTAATGGATGGTATCGCGTGTCTCGCTTATGAATGGCAATGAGCATATAATAGTACTGACTCAGTACATTAACTCACCAGGAGTTTCAGACACTGGTATTCTAACACATTCAGAGCTAAATGCACAGGTCATTGTGATTTAATTTGACATACATATTAATATATATAGAGCTGGTGACCCATGAGCAGTGTACCCCTCCTCTCTACCTCTCTACCAGTGTATGCTGAGATAGGCTACTGCCCACCAAAACCCTCTACAGGCAGATACAACCTCCTAGAAGATTTAAGAAGCTATGTCAGCACGCCTACATACCTGCATAAAGCAAATACATGATTTAGTAATTCTTTACATCAAAGCATGTGAATGTTTGTATGTTCCCATCAGTCTACCAACAATTATAAATTTGAATTGAAATTTTCAGATTCAGTCTCTTAGTTGAGGCAGTGGAAAGTAACTAAGTGCATATATGTAAGCACTGTACTGGAGTACAACTCCAATAACTTTTCTTAAGTAGTTCCATTTTACGCTACTTTATAATTCTACATTGTACAGAGGGAATTCACCTACTTTTTGCTACTGTTTTAGCTTTAGCAGGTTGTGAACAACTGGACTACACTGACTGTGTTTAAAGTAGTTAAAACTAGCTCCTAAAACAGCAAAATGTTACTTGTGTGTTGATGCATTTAACAATAATATATTAATGAAAGGAGCCATTTTTTAATGCAGGATGAGTTCTTTTACCTCTGATACATTTAGCTAATAATACTTATGTACTTTCACAGGATTTTGGGCAGGACAAATCTGTATTCCCAACAGATTTTTCCATAGCACTTAGTGTGCATGAGAAAATGAAGACATCCCCACAACAACTCCTAGCAAAACAGATGTCAGCATCCATTTCTGTAAACCAACCACCCTCCTCCTTCCCCCTTCTTCCTTTCAAACCCCACTTTAATATCAGAGTTAAGCTCATCTTTGAAGCATTTCACACATACACCCTTATCTGCCCTCACACCTTTGTTGCACAGCAACATGACTCTCTCTGTGCCAGGACACACTCTGGAGTGATAAGGGCCTCAGAGCCTCGTCTTCTGGCTTCACTTATCACTCTTGAGCAACAAGGCAGCACTGCCTATCTGTTCATGTTTCTCTCTTTTGATAAGTATAGACTGGACACTTTTTTCTCTCCCTTTTTGCTCCAAGCGTTCCTCAAACCTGCCGTCTTTGTGCCAGCAGAGGCATTTAATAACGATGTGATGGTTTTTAATTGCAAATCGAGTACCTGACGCTTCGCAGGGAGGGGTGATGTTGACATGAAATACGAAGCAGGAAGAAATAAAGGCTGGTACGGTATTATTAAGGTAAAGTAAAGGCAGACTAACACAGTTTAGCTGCCCAAATGACTGGAGCTGGCATCTGAAACTGCCCACAGATGGCCTGCTGAAAATACCGAGCAGTGGAGGCTGGAGGGCGGCTGCTGGTGTTGTGCCACACATCATAAATCTTTCTGGGACAAGCAGTCAGGTCCAGCTTCAGGAGATAACCGATGTCCATTACTAGACAAGGCAGCGAGTGACAGAGAGGAGTCTTGGTCTATAAAGCTGAGCTGAGATGGTAAAGGTTATCCAGGGACACAGAACTCCCATGATCCTACTGTAATCGGTCTAACGCTGTAATCCTGGTGCATAATATTTAAAGAGCTTTCAGATTCAAGAGAGAAAATACATATGTTTTTTTGGGTGGGGAGGGTTGAACATTTAGGACGTCCAGTATCAAGACAAACTCATTCATTTCACTGTTGTTTTTTTTACAGCTGCACTGCTAAAGGAAATGCCAACAGGTCAGCAGGTGAAATAAAATGCGGTTTACTTTCCATTATGTAACTTCCTTGTTTCCTCTCCTGCTGTAATCAGACTTTAATCTATCATAATGAAAGTACATAGTAGGACTCAATAGGCCACATACATCAACGGCAGACTTCAATCAGCAGCTTAATCAAAAGGCTTGTGGGGATAAATTAGCCTTATTATTTCACAAAATAAATCGCTAATATCCTGCACAAACTCTGAATACTGATTGTTTCAGCAACAGCCGGGAAGCCCACTCTTATCCAGTGAAGGGTGAAAGAGAGCTGGTTGGCTCTGATCAACCAAGGGATCGCTTAGGAGGGGGGAAAAAAGAACCTTGAAGATGAAATCAGCCCCCAGCTAGGACAGATCATTTAGCCGCAGTGTCAATCCAGTCTCCATTAAGCCACAGCCTCATCACAGAGAGCACCAGAGACGAGAGATGACAAATATTGATCAAGATATCAGATCATGTCTGCTCAAAAGCTTCTAATATAAGCCCCGTTTTTTTAGTCTGACAGATATGAATCAATCTCAAGATGTGCATGGTGTGTCAGTACCAGGATTTTCAAATATTGACTATATTATAGAAAAGATGTGATAGTGGACATGTAATTTAATTCACAAGAACACCCTGTTACAAAGGATTCTGATTTTGAATGAAGCTCAAGACTACCACCATGTGGATAAAATGTTATACTACATTCAAGTGGTAAAATGGAGCACTTAGATTTTCAATATTATGCTCTCATTTGTGGCAAAATAATTTCTAGATTAGACTCAAATGTCCCTAGAATTAACATATTGAATAAAGCACATGGACATGCATGTAACCTTGTATGCATAAATGTAAAAAAAAAGGTAAAAGTGTGTCAGTGAACATGTATGTATACATGTCTGCGTGTATAAATATGCTTTATGTTAAAGACTGTTTATGTGTTTAAATCAAGAATATATATGCACACATACAGTACATATCCACACACACCATCTATATATTGTAACCTCTCATATTCATACATGAATACTCTTAAGCACACAAACAACCTTTTGTTTATGCATATATGTGCATGCATTATACAGTATATATGCATGTATGGATGTACTGTGTATGTTTATGTGTTTATATGCATTATATATATAATACTCCATTTGCATCTATGCTCAAGTTTGAAATTTGCAGTTAAAGACCAATAGAGGAGATATAGTATAGTATAGTATAGTATAGTATAGTATAGGAGGTTATAGTGAAGTAGCAGTGATAGTAGTAAAGTGCACAAAAAACACACAAATGAATTATCATTGACACACACTGGAAGACAAGAGTGATGTAAAGGGCCTGAAAATAACTGATGCTAATTCATGATTGTTACTTTAAGTGATAAAGCCATTATCATAGTATGGTTTTATTTCTGTTGTTTCAGAGTTTGAACATTTAGGTACAGTTCATTCACTTCTGTATAAACTCTAATATTTGAACTGATTAATTTATTATATTTATGGAAGAATTTCTAAATCTGTAAACAGTAAATATAACTGAGACATTACCATCAGGCTCTCTTCAGTTCTGTTTTATACCAACTCTATATTACACTCAGATAAACCCAGTCTTTAGTTGTACTGATAACTCCATGCAGCAGAGGGCAGAACAACACCACATTTCAATTCTCTTCAGTCTAAGTACAGCTTGTCTTTCATCTCCATTCAGCATGAACCAGATCCAGGACCCTTCCCAAAACGATCTGCATGGACTTAATCTCAGCAATGAAATCATATTGCTCTTACCCCTATCAAAAAGAAATTGAATGTTAATATTGCATTAGTCGAAATCTTTCCATAAACCTCCCTCTGATCTCACTTTGCATGGATTGAGATGATCTTATGATGGTCTTCGACAAGCAGACTGTCCGTCATAAGGGATACTGTGTGAATTACCTCTTCATATCCAATGTAAACAGCTTGATCTTCAGCAAATCTGATCTATCATAACCTTCCACTCTCAGAGGATTAAATAGCTTTGCACTTTAGAGGAATAATCCTCACTCTGTATATGTCTTGGCCTCAATAACTGAATTGGGTTGAGGGTCTGTGGAGGTGAGGGCTCGCTCTATTGCACATCATTTCAGTCACGCAGCCTCGAATGGTTATTGGGCTCCATGAGAATTCCACCTTAGAAGAAGATGAATGCAAAATTATATTTTTTGTGATGTTTGTTGCTTAAAGTGTGTCTAATTCTCATGAAGTTTAACACTAAACCAAAATGTTCCAACTTGTGTGAGTATAAAAATACGTATGGAAATGCTGCCAGAAAATCAATAAGTCATCACTGTTAACTTTTAATATGGTTTTGGTGTACTTTAGGGCCTCACACAGGTCTGAGACACATCAACCGTGAACAAGATTTCCGAGTCATGCTAGCTGGTCTTAGCAGGTTGCATATTTGCCATGTTCACCATCTTAGATTAGTCTGTTTGCATGCTAACATATGCTAATTAGCACTAATCATAAAGTACAGATGATGCTGTTGGGAATGTCACTAGTTTTTGCAGGTATTTGGTCATAAACAAACAAATTGAAATTTTGACCTAATGATTGCAGCATCAATAGGTAAGGAATCATTATTATAATTCACCCCAAGGGGAACAGGAATATGTGTCTAATATTTCATGGCAGTCCATCCAATTCTTGTTGAGATGTTTCAGACTGGAGTAGAAGTTGTGGAGCGACCAATAAAATAACATTTTAGATGTCTTTTGTCTTTTGATGTATCAGTCAGTGACTTAGAAAGTGATGTGAGGTCTGAGGCAACATGGGAGCAATAACTTTCTGTGGACTAGCTGATTTTATATTCTGACCTCAAAATAAAAACACTAAGTGCATTTCTTAAAGGATACATAGCTTCTGAAGTGAACCAGTCGTTTCAAGTTTTATTGTAAAACCAAAACTTGTTGCAGCATGAGCTCTCCATCACAAATCCACCCTTCAAATCTCAAGTATACACCCATCCTCCTAAAAGTGCACCAATCTGTGTTGTTTCCAGGTTCATTGTATCAGCATTTCTTATTAATCGGACACACTGCAGTCCATTTCCCAGCCATCATTAATTATTGTGTGTATACTTATCTCTGTCAACAATGTAATTAGCAACCTTTTCCCCATCCAGTGACATTATGGTTCCAATCTGAGAGCCATTCAGTGCTGAGACATGCAGCAGCATACTGATAATAGTTGTCCCTTGCCCTTTGAAATTGCTCTCTGTTTAATTGGAGTGGAACTCATTAGGAAGCCCCATTCGCTAACTGAGGATGAAGTGTGAAAATGTGATATGGATTACAGCTAATGCAGACACATAGACGTGTTGTAAAGCTGGACTGATATAAAGTTTTTACAGACAGCCGGAGGAGGAAAGCGAAGATTGCCAACAAATAAAGCTGTTAGACTTCGGCTAAGTATTTAGATAAGAGGATGAAAACAGCTTGAGAGTGGGCTGGTAATAGCATCTATTAAAGTGATTTGAAATCAGGCTGAGGTCATCCTGCTTCGGGGGTGCTTTCACTCTTTCTTCTGTCCCGAAAGTACCGGTCCCCTAGTTTAATCTGAAATTGAAGGCTCTCAACTGCGACGGATTATAGGGACTAACCCAAGCATGCAGCTGTGGACTCTGTCCTAATGAGCCCAGCCAGCAGAGCATCAAGTGACAACAAGTAGCTACTCCAACAAGAAGGGGCAACTTCATGCAATTTAAGAGTTACAGCAACCCCTTGACAATGACTTTTTAGACAATTGTTTAAAAGGAAAGCACAGTAAATAGACACCAAAAAGCCACATTTAATAAAAGGTGATTTCTATTTTATGCTTTGTATTTTGAGTTATACATAATTTGAAATGAAAACACAAACATTGTTTTAAGACTACAAGAAAACATATTTCAAATTGTGCCTTAGTGAGAGAGATTAATATATCAATTATATACAGCGCGATATAGGACAACAATTACTTTCTTTCTCTTAAAAGAGTACTGTCGGTGGGATGGTTCTTATTTCAAATGTCACCATTAAGTACAAGCAACAGTAAAAATGAATGCCAAGAATGAAATGTATACCTTCAGACACTGACTGCTCATTGGTCACCAGTAGTCCAAATTAATTTGTTATAACTGTTATAGTGGATACAATTTTACTCATCTGGATATAATTGTGGGATCTATGTACACCAATATTAACACTTTTACTCCCACTCAGTCAAATCCTCTCTACTGTGCATGAGCAACAACAACCATACGTTTAGAAGTAAGTCAGAAAAAGTGCATTTGCATCTTCTGTGCAGAGCCATTGACGGCCAGATGAGTTTTTCTTCTTAAAGAAGTCCAGATACAGGCCAGTTTAGAGAAGTCAATGAGGGTTGAAAACCTGCCGGACAGTGAGTTATGTTGGGTAAGTCCCTACACATGCTGAAAGCAGCCAGGCCACTGCATTCACTCACGGGAATAACAGTCCTCGGGTAGGTGAAAGTCTCTATGGACTTTTCTCCTCCTCTGCTGGACTGCGGGGATCACTGGCTTTCTCCTCGGCTGCCTGTCTCTCCTGTTTGCCCTCTAGCAGTCTGTCATGAGAGACTGTCCCCAGCACTTTGGCACTGTGCTCCTGTGCCTTGGCCCTGAGTGCAGCAATGCTGTTCTCCCTCAGTTCCTCTTTAGAAATGGTGGACTTGCCTTCTGACCTCTTCTCCTCCGCTTCATCCTCTTCTGCCCTCTGAGAGCTCGGCTGCTGGGGCGCATCGCACTTTCCTGTCGGCGGGGGAGCTGCTGCCTCCGTGGACTTTTTGTGCATCCCTGCAAAGAGTTGCGGGTATTCAGATTTAGAATAGCGTCTGTTGATTGGTAAGCCATCTTGGACTGAAAATAGCAAGCAAAAATAGTTCCGGTTTAGAATATAATGTTTGAATGGACGATGGCAATGCATGACCAGCTAAGAGGATGAAAATATTTTATCTAACGCAAAATGTTCTTTATTTAGAAGGTTTATTTGCTTTAAAGGGTTATGCTTATCAAATTAGAGCATCTACCATAGGTATGCAAAGAGAGCATCAGTGCCTGCGCTGAACCAGACACTACAGCAGTGAAACACTGCAATATTTTTATGATTATGCATGAATAACTTGATGAACTATTGTTACTACTGAATAATGTGGGACATATGACACAATGAGCATGAATGTTTGGAGCACAGTTAGACATCAAGCCTCACCGAGCAGCCAGGGGGCGCAGGACTCCATGATGCCATCCTTGGCAGACTTGAGGATGGACTCTGGCAGGGGGATGGAATGCCTCACCATGGCTCCATACAGCCCATACTCAGCCATCACGGTGCTACGGCCCCAGCACTTCTCCCTCTTCCTCCATTTGGCTCTGCGGTTCTGAAACCATACCTGTGACAGGACGAGACCCACATGTTAGTTATCCTCACTCTCACCTTCAAATAAGGCACATAAGTCAGTATGCTCTCTGCCTACAGATGTAAATGTTGCAGTTTTTGCCAGTGAGGAAAATATAGTTTGGCTAAAAAAACATTTATGCTCTTCAGATGAAATTTGGTGCATTTTCTGATGCTTTTTTTCAGATCTGTAATGTTTACTCTGAATAGTTTGGGAAATTGTTGCAATAGAAGAACTTTTTAGTTTCAGCTTTCAACTGGCACAAACTAGAGCATGTCCTCAATCATTTGGGGATAGCAGAGATGGAACTACATGAGATTAGTGGTCCTTTGACGTCAGAGTGGAGATAATGAGACAATTAGGATTCAGTTTTCTTTTAAAGGGTTGCAAACAATCCAACTCGAGCAGCTCGAAATTTGCATTCCTTTATGGCAAGATGCCACTATTGGTACCGCTTTCTAACACTGCACCCCTTTGGCTTTATTAATGATGAATAAATAATTTACTAATACTTTATACATCAGTTATATGCTATCAATACGACTTAATTTGGGGCTGTCAAAACTCTTTATTTTTGACTTAATGCCATTTATAACGACAGATATGATGGCTTATTAAAAAGTGTAAACCTCTCAGTATTTATTAATGTATTACACATGTATACCTGCATTATTAGAGAGGATAAACACCATCAAAGGGGCTTTTACACAAACTGGAAACCCAAGCTGTTGTTATTGATGACTTTAAACCGACCTAAATGATTTATTAAACATCACTAAAGCCATTAGAAAGTGGCACGAAAACTGAAATTCAGCACTTCAGTAGTTACAAAGATGACCTGTTTTGGGAATCTCCAGTGGGATTCAAAGTAAGATAACAGCTGCTCTGTTTGGATCCAGCCCATTGATTTCCCATAACCTGCTGGCTACAGGTGTGAAGGATCTCTGCCTCCTGTCAGAGCTCATCTCCAGCTACCTGCGCCGGCATTATAGATGGTTTGACACATCAAGACACTTCACTCGCCTCAGCCAACAACTGTTTAAGGCCCTGCAGGCTATCTGTCAGCCCAGAGAGAGAGAGAGAGAGAGAGAGAGAGAGAGAGAGAGAGAGAGAGGAGGCCAAATTGATTGTATAGCACAACACAGGATTGTTAAACACTACTTAGGGTAGCTCTGATGGCTCTGTGAGAAGAGGAGGAGAGGAGGAGGAGAGGAGGAGGAGGGGGGGCCCGGAGAGAAGATTCAAGTGAGGGGACAGATATTAAATTGAAAACGATCAAACCGTTTTCATGCTTTTTTTTCCCTGGTAATTCTGATGATAACCCTTATTTCATACAAGATACTTTTTTTTTTCTTTTTTTTATGAGAAATTGCTTCTCTGCCGCTCAAAAGGAGCCAGTGTGGAAGCTGTGAGGAGGAGTGACCCTGGGGCACGCCGAGGCTGATTGAAAAATAAGTTAATTTCAGGCCCAATCGATGGCGGGCAGGCGGGCAAATATCACGGGAAATTAAACTACCGGGACTCGGGGGAGCAGCGCTATTGACCCGTGCTAATAAATTCAATGTAGTTATTTCATTTGAACTCCCTGCGTCTCTCCGGCAGCCAGCCCTCCCGAGCTCGTCTGATTTAACTAATTACTCTCAATGAGAAAATTGGGTGTTAATTTTATTTAGGATAGGAGCAGGCCCGGGCTTATTTATTTATTACTTTTTTTTTTTTTTTCTTTTTTATTATTTATTCGCGGCTGTACTGTTGCGAGCCCGTAATGAGAATGAGATTAAAAGGCACCCCGGCAGATGGATGGTCCAGGTCACACTGCAATCTTCTTCCGCCTTGATAGCTTGATTAGGTCGTTAGCGGCTCCTTCTCCGAGAACAAATTGTTTCACATCCAACTGCAGCCTGATGAGAGATTATCTATCCTGGCGAGGATGCTGGAGGGGAGCGGGGCTTTGTTCAGACAGGGAGGGGAGCGCCACTGATCGATTTACTTGGGAGGCAAGGGGGAGGGAGGGGGGAGATCACTTAGAGCCCATCTCCCCTGAAACATTGAGAGGCAGCGGGCGGCCTGCGGGAGCTCATGGGCGCTGATGGGACAGATTTACAGGTGCATATTCATAAGGCAGACAATAATATTTGCCTTACAATAGTCACACAGATCGGCGTATGTTCTAAAGAAATGTGGTCTAATTATATCGAATACAATCAAATTAGCTAAATAAGACACTAAATAAGACACTGGATTGTCTCTCTATATAACAATAATACATTTACTGGTCTATTTGAGTATTCTGCTATTTGTACAAAGCCAAAAAAAAAGATTTAATGCATGTCTTATTTCTTTCAATGCATTTTATAGGAAAACACCTTAATGTGGGAGATGTTTCAAATATAGTTTCATTTATAAGTTATGTAATGTAAACAATAAACTCAAACAAATGAATCACATCCCTTGCACCGATGGAACCTATAATTAAATGAATAATAAATCATTAGGAGCCCAGTGGTCCATGTTCAAACATCAACAAGTAAAAAACCTTTTGAGTCAGCGGTGAATCGTCGTTGTTAGAATGAGACCCCACAGGGTGCCAGAGGAGAGTATCACCTGTATCCTGTCTTCAGGTAGCTCTGTTTTCATGGCCAACATCTCTCGGGCATAAACATCCGGGTAGTGCGCTTCATTAAAGGCCTTTTCCAGCTCCTCCAGCTGGTATGAGGTGAATATGGTCCTGTGGAAAGCGGGCATAGTTTTAAATATTTGAACATTTTACACAAAATGTATTGTGCCCTGCAGAAATGATCCTTTTGTGGTTCAAACTAAAGGGCCTTTTTAATTTTAATAAATACGAAAATAAAAAGGCAAAAGGTAAAACAACACTGAACACATTTTTATAAATAATAGCCAGGTTCAATAAATTAAGTATTTTGTTATTAATGTGCACGGTTGCAAAAAAAATGTAGCAAATCAAATCAGGACAAGCCTAACATTGCATGTCAGTGATGACAGAAAATACAATCAAACTCTGGCCAATTTGTAAATTCTTCAGCAACTGGACTAGTTGGTTATCTGTATCAATAAATAAAAACACAAAAAGAATAGCCCTTGTAAATGATAAGTGGTTACTTTATTTTATGGGGGGAAATAAAATAGATTTCTGTGAATTTATAATAAAATAAAATAAATATGATCAGCCATTATTAACCAGAAATAACAACACTAACCGGTGACGTCTTTTCTTGCGTTTCTTGCTCTGACTTATTGATGACTTTGAGAGTTTTCGTTCATTTGAAGATAAATCCTCCGAATCTGGATCAAAACAAAAAGAAAGCATTCAAGTTAATAAGATCTGTATATATATTGTGCATTGTAAGAACATAAATAAAATAAAAACAGTTGACACAACACTGCTATTTTTATTACTCCAATACATTTTAATTATTTTATTTAAAACCACATAATAATAATAATAATAATAATAATAATAATAATAATAATAATGTGTAGAATTTTGCAACACATGCACAGTAACCCAGGCTGGATATTTCATACATGCTGTTGCAGTGAGCGGAGTATTTGTTAGGTGTTTGCAGATCACCTGAGCTGGCAGACTGGCTGGTGTCCAGCGGCCCTGCGGACCTGCTGTGGGGCTGCAGGTGAACATCTTGTGCGTCCGACAGCACCGTCTCCAAAAACGCCGGTTGGCTGTAAAACGACGGAATTCCCCCAGGGCCGATTAATCCCATCCCGACACCCACACCCACACCGGCGGGGCCCAGCAAGGACCTGGCGGCGATCAGGTGCGCCCCGGCCGGCAGCGAGCTCAGCGGGGTCCTCGGGGCCGCCGACGGCTCCTTATTCAGCCCCAGTATCTCCTGGATGCCGAAGCCGGTGCACCTGGGCGGCGGATGGGTCGCGCTGCTCTTCGGCTGGTGGCTGATACTCCCTCCATTCGCACCCAGAGAGGTTTTCTCCGATAGATTTAAACTTTCCGAGAGCACGGCGCCTTGCTTCCCCGTCATGATATCTTCGATGCTAAAGGCCTTTTTCTTATTATACCGTCTTACAGGATGGTCCCCAGTGCATGATCCTCTGTATAACACACAAGAGTCCTTTAGAAAATGGTCCTTTTATCCAACAGGTCCATCCCAACAAGAGGCAGGAGCCAGCAGCCAATCAGCTGCAAGGATTCAGGATTCCTGTGGATCATGGATGCATTATACGCCCTCTCGGATACATATCTGCATTTTCCTCAGGACTATATGGATCAACGCGAGAGGGATTTATGCTACAGAGAGAAAGGGAGGAACGAAATGACTTTCTTCAAGGCTACAGCCTGCAGGCGAAATGCTGACAATGAACATCAAATTACAGTCCAAAAAAAGAGAGCCAGGAGTCCTATAGACATTAACAAAGATAAGGAACATTTAACTACAATATAATTCCACCATTAGACTCAACAAACCTTCATAAACTCACCACAGATATACCATTGCTTGTATGCATTTTCGTCAGGAAGTCAGGCCTAATTAAATCGTATATTTCACACCTCTTACTTACCTTTGAAATGCTGCAGGTTTAGAAAATTACCTCAATCTCCTAGAATAAATCAGTATGTATTGCCTTTCGCTGAATGGCTCTCTCTCTCTCTCTCTC